GTTTGAATTCGTGTAACTAATTGCGGATAAACATAATCAAATAGAGGATAAACATCTCATTTTAAAATATAAAAAATCTAAAATATAATTAGAATAATTATCGAGTTCTAACAAAATAATTAATTATTATTTTTATAAGAAAATTATATTATTAAACCAAATATAAATTACTTCGTTATTGATTCTAAATTTAATTATAATAAAAAAAATTGAATTTAAAATTACACAAAAAATAATGAATTTTAAATAGTTAATTTGATACTAATATTGATATATTTTTGTCAAAATTTCATGATATCTTCAAATTTATATTTTATTAAAAAAAATAAAAACATCATCGTTTTTTTCAAAATCACATAAGATCATATTATAACATCGACTGAGATAAAGAATAAAATGAAATATTAAAATCAAGATGTATCTCGCTGCATTGCGCGAATACCCTTATGGTATAAATTAAATAATAACAATAATATAATTTGCTATTCGGTTAATTGATATGGTAAAAAAAATAATCGAAATTCAAATTTACAATATTTGGTTAACTGAACAGTTTAACCGCAAACTGTTTTGGTTCGAGTAAGTTATTCAGTTTCAGATTTTTTTATACGCAAGGCCCCAGTCACCTAAGTTTCTGGATCCACCACTGCTAGAAATTGTTGACGTTCTATAAACCCAATTTTCTTGTAGTGTATATTTGATGTTACAAAAGGTTGTCAAGTTAATTACTCCATCGAAATAAATTCAACCAACTTTCTTAAAGTTTTTACTTCTCTCTATACGTTCCAAAAGAAAAAACTTCAGGTAACACCGCAAGCTGGAGAGAACTGAAGTAAATGGACTAATTAACAGTGCGAGAACATGATAAATATATATCAAGAATTGATTGTTGCTGAACAAAAGCTTAAATTGTATTTGTATAAATAACGTCTTACGAATTTTCGAGGGTGGCTACAGTTGGGAAAGAAGATTAACCTCAGATCAAGTAGCCAATGTCGGAAACCAGTTGCCGTTTGGTTTCACTCTCATCCTTAAGCAAAACCCACAAAGAAAAAAATTCGAGTTTGAAGTAAAGAAGAGAGTAATACAAAGGGATAATAAACTTGAAATGATTCATTTTTTTTTTTATTAACCTGGATATCCAACCCGCTATGCGAGCCGACTAATTCCAGGGCGACCACCTGCTTTGCAGATAGCCTGGAGTCACCGCATTTGAACCTCCGGGGCCACAAGGGGTTTTTTATTCCTCATTGGATTTGAACCTGGGACCTCCTGGTACTTTTGACCTTTGGAGCCAAGTTCAAACCAATCAGGTACCACCCTTATGGTTATCTTTTTTATTACATTCACACACACAAACATTCAATACATACGAGATAGATATATATACATGTTGAACCGTTGTGACTCTTCAAAGTCAACGGTTATGTAACTGTCATTTAACTGTTATTAATATTACTTAAGTCTAGTTTATTATTTCTAACAAATTCTACTCCAAGTTTACGTTTTAATGCTTCTCTAGCTGCTTTTTCAGGTAGTAACATCGAAATGGAACGAGTATGAAGACTCAAGACTAAAAATTGAGCATGATTTCATTATATAGGTGTTCAACAGTGGCTATGGGCATGGAGTAAATCATGATATGTTAATATAATCGTCTTTTAAGCATGCATAGTGATAGATGTACGTTTTGCTACAAGAAATAAAAATACTTAAATTAACGTTGAATCGATTAATAATGGTTTTGTATGCAAAGTGTGATGAATGCAAGTCATGAGGTGACACGTCAATGGTAACTCATTCAATCAAGTTTACACCATATGACTTGTATATAGTGAATAGAGAGTAAATGAGACAAAAAAAAAAGAAAAAAAATGCGGGAAAAAAATAGTCATAGGTCTTTTGGGTATTGGTAATTAGTGATGGCCAAACCAGACCAGACCGGCCCGGCCCGGGACCACCGGAGGACCGGGACCGGCCAAGGATTGGCCTGGCCCAGGTCCGGTAAGAACCGGTTATAGGACATAAATCTGGGACCAGTTATGGATTTGGGGTGTTTCGCGGGACCGGGATCGGTTATGGACCGGCCCGGCCCAATTTTTAAAAAATGTAGCTATTTTTTCTTAAAAAAATGTAGCCTTTATTTTTCAAAAAACTAGCCCTTTTTTGGGCTTTTTTTTGTATGTTTTGCTTTCTAAACACTATATATGAGTGTCTTGGTTGCGGGATTTACATACCAAGTTTTCGATTCGCAAAAAATGCAAAAAAACGTTCACAATTATCGGTTTCTCGCTATATTTTGTAAGACAATGTAATATATATAAATATATATATATATATATATATATATATATATTAAAGGAAGAACCAAGAGTATTGAGGTGACATCATGAGATTTGAGTATTGTGGTGTTGATGAATTGCGGTTGAGTTTGAGGTATCCCACATTGGTAAGAGATTGAAAGATTGAAATAATAAGGTGTGTATAAGAAAGAATGATGAGAGTCATTGTTTCAACTCATGAGGCTTGATTCATAAGGTTATCTTATTTAGATGACCCTAATTTTTTAAAACAAATCTTATATTGTATATCAACTCATGATGCTTGAGTTAAAAGGTTATCTTATTTGGATGACCCTATTTTTTCAAAACAAATCATATTTTATATATATATATATATATATATATATATATATTAAAAGAAGAACCAAGAGGTAATTAGGTGCATCATGAGAATTAAGTATTGAAGTGTTGGTGAATTGTGGTTGAATTTGAGATATCTCATTTTGATGAAAGATTGAAGATTGGAATAAAGAGATGTGTATAAGAAAAAAAGAACGAAATTCATTGCGTCAACTCAAAAGGCTTAACTCATAAAGTTAACTTATTTGGATGACACTCTTTTGCAACATAAATGTTTGGAACAATTGTCTAAACTCACATGCTTTGCTCATTTTGACTGAACTTCCAAACATATGCGGTTGACTCATTTTGGCCAACCTTTTTTTGTGACAAAATTAATCTACACTAAATATTAATTGAAGGGATAATTTTAATATGTTTTTGAAAGTAAAAAGCGGAACCGTTGATGCGGCACCCTAACAATTGAATATTCTTCAATCTTAAATTGTGATTGAGTTTTATATATCCCACACTGATTGAGAGTTGAAAGATTGACAAAAATGTTGGATATGTAAAATGAGGTCCAGATGCCTTTGTGACAACTCATGAGGTTGGTTCCTCTTGGTTGATTCTCTGAACACCTGTGGTTAGAACATTTTGGCCGACTCTCCGAACACATGGGCTTGGTTCATTTTGGTCAACTCTCTTTTTGCAAGAAGAGTTAATCAATATTAAAAATCAATTATATATATAATTCACTATGAAAATTTAATATTTTCAATTTTGAAGTATAGGGATATTGATGTGGTTCACTATTTTTTATATATTACTTGACATGCGTTATGATCACCGTGCAACGCATGGTGCCGAGCACTAGTTTTAATTATAACAAAACGCATTTTTAAAGTGTATTTGAGTGACCAAATTACAAATTTTATAATATATTAAAAATATATATCATTAAAAAGATAAAAAATAAAAAAATTATTTTTTAATGACCAAGACCGACGACCCATAACCGGTTACAATAAAGCTTGACCAGGCTCAACTTTTTCGGCCGTGATCAGGCCCGGTTACGAGAAATCTTGGGATCGGCCCGGAACCGATTTTTGGCCATCACTATAATGGTAATAGAACGGTAATATTTTTGAAAATTGGGTCAGTCCTAGACCCAGGCCCAAGCCTTCTTTTTTGACGAAAACTGTAATCAGTCCCAAACAGGTCCCAGTATGTCCCAGGCCAAGCCGGTCCCAAATCAGTCCCGATCCTAACAGGACCGAGCCCATTTAACCATCTCTGTACATACGAACTCACATAAATGAACCAATTATTTCATCGATTAATATAGTGTGCATTTATTGATTAATATTTTGATATTAAATCCAATTGAACAACTATAAATAATTAGGGGTTACTAAATATTAATAAGTTATACATCCCATCAGCTCATTAATCCCCTAACTTAATGAATAAGTTTATGTATTTGAAATAACCATTAATTTGGTTCAAAATATCTTATCTTTATATCTTATTTGGCTTAACTAAAGATAAGATATTTTAAGATATTTGTGTTTTGCGTATGCATAAAAGGACGGTCAGGATCATTCCACGTATTGTTGTTTTATTCGTGGAGATGGACATCTGGAAAATCACTACCACAATTAACTTTACTTTTTCTTTATATTGTACTAATTTATTAAAAGAACTCCTCTCATCTTTTCACTCTTTCGATAACAAACCTTAATAGTTGATAACACTTTCTATTTTAAGTATATAATATTTATATACGACAAATACAACAAATAAACTTACACACATTCCTAACATTTAGTAAGGTTTAAACTCCTGACCTCCTAGAAAACTAGAGACTATAATATCGTTAGACCAAAGACCCTTTGATAGTTGATAATGGTTCATTATCAAATTACAATCTAATTATATGAGTTTTGTTCTTGAATAGTTGAATGTCATCTTGAAATGCACACCTTAATCAAAATCTTGACTTTTTTGTTTTTTTACGGTGTTGATTAAATATCTATGTGTTACTTTCCATCTTCTGATTTATGAAATAAAAGTATATAGTTTCTAGTGGTTACAAATAAACTGTATGCATAAACAATTATAGGGTGACGATTAAGAAGTAATATCACTACGATAAAATCCCAAGTCAACAAAGACGATCACGGTTAAATCTCCAAAGACGCAACCAGATAATGTTCTACAAAACGACATCTTTTCCATGAAGCTTAGAAGCATAAGGGGCATATGTAAAGATATTCAAAAGTTGGAGGGGTGTTTATGTAATAAAACATTTAACAAAATTAAATAAACTTTTCATAAATGTGGAAGCCTTTTGAGGAAAAAAGAGAGGAGCATGTGAGCCTCAAATCCTTTAAATGCAGAGAGTGACTCTCATGAAAGGAGTACAAGACACTTGTCATCTCTTCCATTCCAAACAAGAAGAAAAGAAGGGGGACACATTGCTCTTCTCTTCTCCCACTAAAAGGGTAAAATCGTCTCGAAATTTTATATTCCCTCAGATATTTCTCTTCTAACTTGATTGCCCTTCTATGTTGCCCTAGATAAAGATTTGAAATTTTAACTCCATTTATTTACCATTTTGATCTTGTTGCCCCAAATCTTTGTGGGTTTTTCTGGGATGTAGATCTTTGAATTTCTTTTGATTTTTTTCTTTAATTCTTGATGAGAACTGTGTTACTTTACCATAAAGTATAGTGCTGATCATGGTCATGGATAATGTTTAGCTTTATCCCCTTTTGAGTGAGCTCAAGAACAGGAAAATGAAAACCAATTCAGGATTGAAATTGGGATCTTGATTTGTGTGTGTTAATTTTACAATATTTGATTTGATGTATGAATGTGTTATGTTCTTTTTGTGGGTATTTTGGGAATTTCCGATATGGAGGTAACCCTAGTGATTTTGTAGCTTGATTTAACCTAATATCTTCTGATTATGACTTGTTTCTTAAATCTTGATTGAGATAGATCAAGACACAAGATAGATTTTTGCTGTTTCACCTTCTTGATAATGGATTAAGTAGGGCAGTTCCCTTTTTCTTTCTTTCTAAGAGCTATCTTCCATTAATGACATGTACCTCATGCAGAAGAACTTGTAAATCTTGATATCTGTCCCATGCCCATGGTAGGACTATGATGTATATATATATATATATGTATGTATATGTATCTTCTAAAATCCCTCCATAAATGATGGGTATTTGCCAAGGAGGAATAAAAATCCCCTTGTGGCCACGGAGGTTCAAATGCGGTGATTCCGGGCTATCTGCAAAGCAGGTGGTCGCCTTGGGATTAGTCGGCTCGCATAGCGGGTTGGATATCTAGGTTAATCAAAAAAAAAATGATGGGTATTTGCTAGAATGAAGTAAATTCATAAGGATGATCTTGGATTCTTGATCTGAAGTTACCTTATCAAGAAAGTTTAATCTTTATTGTAATACCCTTTATACCCACATTCTAAAGTTTTCTTTATTTGGTGAATAGTGAATTGCATTTGGATATCAAGAAATCAAGTGGGATAACTTGATCTTGTTAGATTCTAATAGGTATTGGATGATTTCAGCCATGAGTTCATATATCAATTTCAAGAACTGTGGTCAGATGGCAGCAAATTCGCCGTTGACACAACAATCTTCTATATATGCGTTGACTTTAGATGAATTACAAACCACATTGGGTGGAGGTGGGAAGGACTTTGGATCAATGAATATGGATGAGCTTTTAAAGAACATTTGGACTGCTGAAGAGACTCAATCATTGACATCAAGCTCAAGAACGCTTAGCCAGAAAACCGTGGATGAAGTTTGGAGGGAGTTGCATAAAGAAAATGGTGGTCATGGTGGATTTGGAGAGGTGGGTTTGATCAAAGAAGCAGACTTGCAGCCACAACAGAAGCAACCAGCTTTGGGTGAGATGACATTAGAGGAATTCTTGCAGAAAGCAGGGGTAGTTGCGGAAAAACCCCAAATTCAACCAAATGGAAGGCATTGGAACGATGGGCTTTTTGGTGATGATGGAAGTGGTTTCGCTTTTGGGTTCAAAAACCCGAATCAGAATCAAAGGTTCCATCAACAAACAGTTGTGATAGAGGGTAAAAATGAAGTGGACAATTTGCAGGGTGTTAGATCTTCACAACCACCAAAACCACCCAAACTTTTCCCCAAGCAAGCTGCTTTCAACTTCAGTTCTTCACAAGTGAATAATGCTCAGTTGGGTAATTCGATTAATGGAGTTTCAGTAATTGGAAAGACGGATCATCTAATAAATACGAGCATGGTTCAAGCTAAGGCAGTTGGGGGGCATATGTCAAGATCTCCACCGGATTTGTTCCCAAACAGTAATTTGGATACATCTCCATCACCACCGGCTTATGGGTATGGTGAAGGTGGTGTGCAGGAAAAGAGAAGGGGCGGTCCGTTGGAGAAAGTGGTGGAGAGAAGGCGGAAGAGGATGATCAAGAACAGAGAATCAGCGGCAAGGTCAAGGGCTCGGAAACAGGTGAACTTTTTAAACATTAATATCGTTTTTGCTATTTGATTGTGTATGCATTCATGTCTTGTGGATCTTTCTTATATTCAAGACGCTATACAAGATCGTAGCATTTAGCTTCTTGCTTGATGTTGTATGGAGTTCATTTGTGTTTGATGAATGCTATCATGGTTACATAGATCATGTCTATTTAACTAGCCCATATCGAGATGTGAACTTTTAACTCAGATTACAGACCATATGAGTCTATGTTCAATGCCCATCTTCGATGTTTCTGAATTTCCTTAGCACCAATTGATTGGGATTCCAGAAATGCCATATCCCCTTATTTCTAATGGAGTCCCATGTTGGCTAGACACAGACTATTAAAATTGTATATAGGAACATTTTCCGTCTCTATAATGGCTCTTTTGGAGAAAGGTTCAAAGGGGTTGCATAGGCGGGGTCTACCACATCTACGGATTCGACACTCTTTCACCTCTGTTTTAGGGGGCACGTCTAGCCTCTGTTTGAGGGGGCATGTTGATATGGACTATCAAACCTGTACAGGAACATTCTCTCTCTCCAAGGGCTCTTTCTAGAGAGGGATTCAAAGGGGTTCTACATATCTCACATGGTATTAGAGTTGGGGTCTACCACATCTAAGGGACTCGATACACTCTTTCACCTCTGTTTTAAGGGGGCAGTCTAACCTCTGTTTGAGGAGCGTGTTGGTGTCCCGCATCGTTTAGACATGGACCATCAAATCCGTAGTGGTTCTACATATTATGACATGGTATTAGAGTTGGAGTCTACCACATATAGGTACTCAACACTCTTTCGCCTCCATTCTAGGGGACATGTTAGAGCCCACATCACCTAGACATGGACCATCAAACTTGTATATATGTAAGAACATTTCCGCTCTCTCTAAGCGCTCTTTTAGAGAAAGATTCAAAGGGGTTCCACGTAACCTCACAATTGGGGTCTAGATATAATTGCTTGAGGTTTTTACTTCGACAGGCGTATACATTGGAATTGGAAGCAGAAGTTGCAAAACTTAAAGAACTCAACCACGAGTTGCAGAAGAAGCAGGTATGCATCCTAAACGACTGCAAATCATCTTCATGTTCCTGAAACAATGTCGTGAATCTTTCTTGTAGTAACCTGTTTTCTTTCTGTGTTCTGTCATCTCTCCAGGAAGAAATCATGGAGTCACAGAATTTTCAGGTTTGTCGTTTGAGGTTCATTAATGGAAATTATATACGGGAGATGACAGTACAAAAACTTGTTGTCCCATATTTGGCAAAACAAAAGGATCTAGGACAGGACCAGAACTGAGTGGGACAAAAATGCATTTTTTTTGTGCCACCAAAATCATTGCGATAGACAAGATTAGTAAATTACTAAATTACCCCTGTCAAATTAAGACCCTGAAATCTTCCACGATTTTTTCATCCTCCTATCTCACTCTCGTCCATCCAGTCTTGTCCAGATACCAAACTACCTATTTTTGTGAATGCAATTTGTTTCTTTGCAGATGCCGGAGAAGATGAAGTTGTGGGGGAGTAGAGGATTATGCTTACGAAGAACGTTAACAGGACCTTGGTAGAGATACAAAGGATGGATCCGAGTAGAAATGACGAAATGTACAACTTTTAATGCACGATTTGAAGATTACGGGTTGGATTTGGTGATTTCTACTCTAGATATAAGGATGGATTTGAGTGTTTGTAGTGTATATACATGTGATTTTTGATCTTGTTTCTCTACACATGGTAAGGAAGTGGTTGTGTATGTACATAAACCATATTAACAACATATATAAACTTATGGATGTAAAATTATGATTCCTCTAGGTACCCTATTTTCTTAGGCCTTTTGTAGTTTGATTGCTCGATGGCGAGATCAAATCGCTTGTGTCTAGAGCTCGGTTTTTCTTGCGGTTTTTGTGATCGAGAAATAATAGTAGGTTTTGGGGCCTTGAGAGCGTGAAACCATATTCGTCACAAAGTTACTATTGTATAATAGCCATTGAAAATTATATAAACCAAACTTGTTTAAAAGTTAATACCATTTTATAAAAGAAGTTTGCATATAATATCTACGTTGAAACAAACCGGTTAAGGCTCAAGGAAATGTAGTGGAAATCTCATCTTCACTGTGTTCAAATCCAGATGTTACAAAGCCTTTGTGGCCAGGAGGTTCACCTGCAACGACTCCTGGTAGTTCATATTCCCCCAGGGGATTAGTCGGTGGACGTACGGTGGTTTAGAAACCCACAATTACCAAAAGAAAGTAATAGGGGTTGGATGTGAAATCTTTTGAGAGATTTTACTTTTCTATTTCTACTTTAAGGAAGTTACAAAGAAACCAAGTCCAAAACCTACATTTATACAAGAGACAACATGCCAAACAGGCATGCCAAGAGGAACTCAAAAGGCTAACATAAGGTGAATAAACCTTTCTTGCAGCATCAGTAGCCTTTCCATTAACACACTTTCTGTGTGCCAATAAGAAGTATCTTGTGAGCTTCATTCTTGAATTTAACTCATAACCCTTGCCATCAACCTGGATTTGGGGTTATCATATGGACCTGCCCAACATGTAATAGATCAAACCGAATTCAGCCCACTTTAATGGCTTTCGCCTGCATTTAGTTTGCTAAGTATGGGAAAACGAGTCCCTCTGCTACACTTCGTGCTCTCCCATGCCCAAAAAACTTGGCGATAATAGCCAACGCAAATTCTGGGGTACTTGAAAGACCCCTACATGTTATGAGTTCACCATCGATAACAACTTGGGAACCAACTACAGCCTCGCTCTCAAGCTTGCTCACCATCGACGAATGACCAGTTGCTTTCTTGTTCTGGAGGAACCATAAAATTAGGTTTAGTATGTAGAAAAGAATAATTTCAGACAATTGGACTTGACTAGTTGCATGCAAACCTATTCTCAGGTCAAATTGTACAAACATGCTATATGTTGCATGAATCTTCGGTTTTGGACAAAGATGGCAAGTACAATGGTTATTTCTGCATATTCATTTCTAAGGATCATCCAAGATCACTCATTTATTAGGAAGTTCATTTATTTGCACTTGCGAAAGCAGAAAAGTTCCTAAAATATACCCCTTTTGGGTCAAGATGAGCTTCTGCATCTACCAGATAAAATAAATGGACATAGGCCATGTTTGCTAGCTTCTTTTTTAACTTCATTGAAAAAGCCCTGTTTGGTTAGCCATAAGCTAGCTAAGCCAACTGTTTGAAAAGTTACTTTAGGTAACGTTTCGATAAACTTGTAAAAGGGGAGGGATTGAACAACATTTCAATAAGCTCTAGGGGATTTTTTCCAATTATGCCTCGTATATTTTTTCTAATAAGTTTTTCAACATGACCTTTTAGGTCATATTACCAAACATTACTAGTTTATTAGCTAGCTTATTTGCCAACAACTAGTTTGCCAAGCATAGCCATAGTGGGTGAGAAGAGAGCATCTACAGAGGGAGGCTTTAGACTGCCGTCAACAATGATTGTTTTTATGTGAACTTTTAATTTCGTTAAAAGATATTGCTCTAGTTTCATATATCTCAATAACTTAACTTTAAAAACCTTGGGCGAGGGAGGGGGTGTATTTTTCTTTATTGTCTTTGACTTACTTGGAGCAGGCCTTGTTTCTGAAGAATTGAAGGCGAAGAGCAAATTGCCCCATATTTTCGTCCATTAGAAACTTGTTCTTTAAGCAGCTTCTTTAAAATCTTGGATTTTTGTAACCGCTCTACACCAGAAACTCCTCCCTGGGATATGGTTTTCAGAAATATGACGAGTGTAAGAAAGCGTAGAATGAAGGGACATACTAACATACGTATGAACTCACTTTGTTTGCCTCACCGGTAGGATAATCAAATCAAATATTGAATCAGCAGCATTCTTAAGTAACGTGTCTGCAACAATTTTTATGCCATGGGACCCCAAAACTGGCAAAGATCTTTCAACTGAAGCAAGTGTAACGTCTAACTTAGCTCGCCGTAGAATATCTACAACTGTAACCACCTCAATATCTTCAGATCCATTTGCAATTGGAATGAGAACCTGTAGTCATTTGAGCACAGAAACATTGTTCATGGTCATCACTTCATGTGGGCTCATGAGAAACCGTCACATAACAAACATTTTAAACATAGACATGGATGAGAATAACATTTACTATGTGGATGAATTCATCGTTGTCCTTTCCACACCAAGATGCATGTAAATTGTAGCTTTTGCAGATATTTTACAAGTTTGTTTTGTACAAGAAAGCAAGAAATGAAACATCCATCTTAGTCTAGCCAAAACTTGTATCTTTTCACCCATAATGAGTAACAATTTCCAGTTGAAGATGTCAAGTAACACATACAATGAAATGAAATTAAAGCTATGATCAACGTTAAAGCTATGGGCTATCTATATGAAATGAAATTAAACCATAATTAAATCTCATGAACCAAAAAAGAAAAAAACTCTTACACGAGGGGTATGATCAACAGCCCACTCAACTTTGTTGAACTCTTCCTTCCGAGAAAGATCATCAGCGGTGTCCATTAACTTGTACACAATTGAGAGGAGAAAGAGTCAGCTTGCATCGATCATCCACAAATCCATGACAAAGAAATCAAAGCTATTATGAAACCTAAGTACGTTATAGTTATAAAGAAATGTTTAGTAGTCTTATTGTGTAACTGCCAGAGGATATGTGAAGAAGCAAAGGGAGCATATGCTCTTTGCTCTGCATGAAATTTAGTCAAATCTGTAGCTAGAGTCAAGCAGTAGGCATTCTCTCACATGTTTTTTGATACGAGAATCCACATAATATAGCAAGTCGTTCACCAGATAATCAAATCCTGAAATGCAAGAACTCATAAGCCAGGTGGCCTTTTTGGTGTTTATGACATTTTGTTCTCTTTCTTATGCTTATGAAGTTTTCTTTTAACATTAGAACAACCTCAATATTTTTTCACAAAATGAAGATTAGACTAGAAACAACAAACCCTCAGATTCTTTCTATAGAGTACAGATGGAAATGTCTGTCAGCCCTACTATCTCATCGGTCTTGAGATGAACTGTAAACATGTGAAGTATACCTGATGGCTGATGGGCAGCTAAGCACATGGGGTGTGATCTAACTCTAAGCTCTTAGTTCAATTCGGTGGTTCTAAATTATGAATGACTATATCAAATTTTCACTTTCAATGTCCATAAATAACACAACTAGGTTCCCCCTAACAGGCTAACACCCCCCTCCTTTCAAACTTATGAACTAGATGATATACTACAGCAAACTGTAAGAAGTAGTATACTTGCAGTCTCACCAATAATTTTCCCATCTCCATGGAAGCAGACTCCCCAAAAAGTTGCTCGACTAGTGATACAGAAAACTGAAAGCAAGTACCAGGGCCCCGACTGGTTGTTAATCCTTCGGAAACTTGAAGATTTGTTTTAACGGCGCGGAAAGTTGGAAGTTTGTGCCAAAATGCTGGATGACAAGTTGTCTGCAAGTGGGAAAACATATCCTCAATTAAAACATCATGCATGTAGCATAATTTAGAATATATACAAAATGTAATACTAAATCTACAAGATGCATATATACTTTCTTTCTCTTCAGAAGACCCCAGGGCAAAAGTGTGACGGCTGGAGCAGCACAAATAGCCCCATATAGCCGTTTCTCCTCAGCTTGCTTCTTGGTAATAGCTTCAAGTGTACTACAATCTCTTAGACGAACAGAACCAGGCATGCCTCCCTAGAGAAGCGTAGGTTAGATGAATAACAAAGAAATACCATGAAAAATAACTGAAGAGAAGAAACCCAGAGTCAAAATACATCTGAAACCACCAATATTCTGATCTAGGTGATAAATTATATATGCGTCTTACCAAATTATTTGTGTTTATCATGGGAAAATTCCAACAAGTCTTGGTTCGGCAGAGGTAATTTTTTAGCAGAACAACTAATTACAAGTCCAAGTAGTTGCTCCTTTCTTAATATGCAAAAGTACATTGCAAATCAGCACTTCCAACTACAAAACAGAGTTAACTCTCCTTTTTCCCATTTCCCCCCTTTCATGGCTGGAGATGGATAAACGGTAAGGTGTTTGATATTTTGAGCAGATATAACTGCCAATCATTTTCACAATTCCGTAAGAAAAATAATGATAACCATATACTGCCAATCATTTTCACAGTTGCCTGTGGTTGTTGTACAGCAATGCAATTTGGGTCTACATATTGCGTAATGTATAGTGCAGTAGTATAGAGTGTGGCTAGAATTATAAGGGTCAACAGTCTTTGCGTCATCCTGCCCCTCAACCACCATAAATGTGAAAGTGTATGTTTAGTCATATAATGAAGTGTGCAAAGGATGATCATACCGTCATTTCATCATTGTTGTTATGAATTATGATAGTTTCAGATTTTTTCGTATAAAGTTTAAGGTGGGCAGGCAACTGCCTTTTGATTTATGGCATTACTGAACCTGTCCATTAGGTAGTCAATTTTTTGTAAGGCTCTATGACCATTATGTGACATTACCCTCCATGAGGGAATGTTGTACTATGTAAGACCTACTTTGGTAGGAATTGCTCAGTGAATCTCACTGATTTATATCCTTGCAAAAGGTATTCACTTTCATTTTTTGGTCAAGATTCAAAGTATGCCAAAAGACGGGATCTAACTACTTGGAGATACAAGTAAATTCACAAGAAGATGCTTAATTGTCATAAAAAGTGGCATTAGATAGCAACAAAGCGAAGACCAGGATATGTCAATATCGTTAAACACAAGTAAGACTTAACAAACAAGGTTTGAAGTTTGAAGAACTCACAGGAAGTGCAACAAGATCAAAAATTTGATCCGAACATTCAGAAATGGATACATCAGCAACAAGTATGGTACCACCAGAGAGCTTGACTTCTAGTTCAGGCTCCACTGAAGCAAGAACCACATCTGCACCAGCTTGACGCAGCACATTCACCATTATAACAGCTTCCATTTCTTCTGTACCAAACCCAATTGGGATCAAAACCTACAAAGACCCGACACAAAACTCACAATTGAAGCTTGCTCAAATTCATACAAGCTACTTCTCAAGCCTCAATCCCATAAGTCATATAATAAAATATACGTGTGTTTACAATTATGTTCAGGGTAAATTGCACAAAGAGTAATTCTACTCTTGTTTCATTTCAATTTTACTCGGGTAACTATTGTATGTCAAACAGAACATTGTACTTCCGAAAAAAAACATTTTGGGCCAAAGTTTACTAGAGGAAAAAGGAAACAGTTTCAAAATTGTAAAAGTTCCATCCAATTTCTAGTTTAGTAATTGGACTTCCATAAAACTGTTTGTGAACATGCAAACACACACACACACATGCACTCTTGTGTGTGTGTGTGTATATATATATATATATATATATATATTAGCAATAAATAGATATATAGTTGAGTGATGATTTCTTATCCTATGCATCTTATTTTAGCCATAAATCTACCTAAGCATTCATATTTATGCTACACTCATCTTGTATTCTGTCCCAACATTCCATCCCATAAAACATCATATAGGTTGCACTGTTTAAGTATTATGTACTTATAAATGGTTACCATTCAACTTCACTAGATAAGACCATTAAAACTTTTCATGGTTTCATCCACCCATTCTTATCCTATGATTAACACTAATCATCTCTCCATCCTTGTGTAACATCTATCCCACGTAACAATTTATTTTCCCTAGTTACCTCCTACAGAGATACGATTAATCTTCCATTTCCCTATACACAACCAAAATTAAATTTCATGTAGTTTTAGTCAAATTTAGTATAAAATCTTTCTATTCCAAGGTGTTTCCCTTGACCTGCATCTTCTCAATAACACAATGCCTAGTCTCAATAGCCTTTTGAATAACATCAGCTAGGAGCTTACACTTTGGTTTGTCATCTTGTATATCCTTTATTAGTCCAACAATAACTAAAGCAAATAGGTAGAGACCCTAAGGCTGACCCTTGATACTGTATAATATGAGAACCTTTTGCAAATCATATTTCTATCACCTATATCTCTCATGAGTGAAATTTCTTCTCTCACAAGTCATCTAATATAGTAGCTTATATAGTTGATCTCACTAGCATGAAACCGAACTGATTCTCCGACACTCTTGTCTCGTCTCTTAACCTAAACTTTATGACTTGCTCTCATTTCTTTGTCATGTGACTTCAAACTCATAAGCTTTCATCACCCAACAATTCATGCATTTAGCAATACACAATTAGTACCTAGGTTCTACATTCACTATATTATCGCTACCTCCCATATGATCTGAAAGCCTCTGTGCTTTATACTCTATAGGGTGCTATTAGGTCTTGAGGCCTTAACTACTTCCATCTTTCTTGAGTTTTCTTAACCCCCACAACCTGATTCTACAACTTTTTACTATTTGCCTTAAAGATGTTAAAATTTTCTTGTAGTTCTAAAATGGTCCCATCTTTCTTTACTCCAACAGCAATATGCATTAACTTAGCAATAGGTAGGCGGTAGCACTTTCAACAAATGGAATAATGTACCCTTGGTTTCCTCTAATCCATGTGAATTCATAATTTCAATCCAAAAATGACTTGTTTAACCACAAAAACCAAAGCATGCCTTCTATTTTTCTTCTTCAATTCCAAGAAATGGAAGCACATAACAAGTAATTATGTAATTGCTATGAACTTGACAACGCGTTACAGCTTAGTTGTCGGCATAAAATGTATTAGATAAATAAGGATAAAGAAAACACTCTAATTTTACCAAAATAATGGAGTCCGCTTTGCCTCGCCAGAAATTTGGTCAGAAATAACCAAATGTTGACATAAGAACCTCAATTTTATCACCAAGCAACGCATAGTCCAAATCGTCATGATCTTTTTTTACAAAAGAAAGGGACTATAATTGTATAACAAACAAACATGTATCCAAATGGGATACGAGAAAAAGAACAAACCTTCTTGATCGGGAGAGAGGCAGCAGCTTCAGTTTCCAATGGTACAGTTTCGCTTGTAGAAGCGACGGAGATAGCCGTCCTTATATGTGATGGAGAGGATAGGGTTTTAGGAGGGGTTGAATAACAGAAATTGCAAGTAGTGGGTGGTTGCCAGCGGCGAGTTATAACAGCAGATACGACTCGTGCGGGACGGAGAGCCGCGGCGGCCGTCGTCATCGGGAAATTTGAGGGTGGAAGAGACGATAGAGAACCCATGATAGAACTCATTAGGCTCCTGCATTGCAATGGCAGTTTATCAGGTTAATCTGTATTTTGGTATAAATTGCTAAATAACCCATATACTTTTCAAAAATTTAATTTTCGCCACTATAAATCTCAACCCAACCATTGTAGGTTTAGATTGGTTGGAATGAGTTGGGTTGACGGATTAGTAGTTACATAAATTTAACGAATGAAATACTTCATAAGACTAAAGTTTATGGGATCAAACTATAAAACGTCATATCTAAAATGATTACAAAAGGTTTATATGACACATTTCGGCGTTTCAACAAGTTATTTATAAAGTTTTTAAATAAAGTCTCGTATTAATTATTTTATAGAACAATTTTGAGAAGTGTCCTGTAAACTCATATATTTATACAACATTTGTGTTCATATGACAATTTTTCAAATAATGTCGTATAAAATAACTAATATAACACTTTATTTTAAAAGCATCCTAAAAAATTGTCAAGACACCCAAAAACGTTCTACAAATATATTATAACACTTTTAGATATGAGCATTTTTTTTGTTTCGTCCTAAAAAGTATCATATTATGACACTTAGACATTTTAGGCATCTTATAAATATAATGTTGTTGTAATGAAATGCTATTAACTATTAACATTTTCTTTCTGTGATTGTAAAACATCAAATGAGGGAGTCTTTGAATTGATAGATTCATCAACCAAATATCTATCAACATCATTCATATTCTCCGGCATACCCATTTTTTGTTACTGCAAAAATGATTTCAATAATTTCTTCTTGTTATATTATTTGTCATCATTATTTGGTGGTGAATCTCTTTTGATAATCTATACATTTAGCTAAAAAGAAATACAAATATAAACTCAACAAACATTACATATAACTTCACACATTATTAATATAGTAAAGATTCAAACGAGAACACCTCCATTTTACGAAAATGCAATAACATTCTTATCACATGTAATAATACACGTGAGAGGACCTTGTCGTGTGCGGACGACTTGGTACATGATCTAGGGTGCACCAAGGGTGGTTTGTGTCACTGACTTAGTATTACATGTGATGAATTATAGTATCACATGTGTTAATACACATGACAAGGTCTAATAGTGCACGGGCGACTCACATGTGTATCATATGTGATGGACTATAATATCACATGTGATTGACTATAGTAAAAGAGTTTTCTCGTATTTCTTTTGTAAAATGAAGGTCTTCTCCTTTAATTTGAATCCTTTCATCGTTAATATATATATATATATATATATATATATATAGAGAGAGAGAGAGAGAGAGAGAGGTTAGTTATTATACCCTTGACTTGTACAACCAATACAATTCAATCTCAACCGTCCGTTTCATTTGATTAATATGTGATTTTGATTGTTTCATAATATAAAGTATTGATCATAATTAATGAACCATATTCATCTTCCATAAATATTCAAATCATAATAAATGAACTCTTATCATTTTCATAAATATTTCAATTTATTAGGTTG